AGCATCAAAAAGTGTGAAGAAAACTTGAAATATATGGTGGTATTTATAGGTTGAACTCAAATGTATAAAAATAACAATAACAATAATAATAATAATATAAATAATAACAATAATAAGAAGAAGAATATTAATATTAATCATAATAAGAATAATAATAGTAATAATAATAATAATACGATCGCGACAATTTCTAGAATTGAGCTAGCAATACAAAAAAATAAAATAAAAACATTAAATTCCATTAACAAGAATTTAAACATTTTAATTTGACATCTTATAGGAGTATAATAATATGTACTATTTAGACACGTGTATTTTATTTCTAAATTGTATATTAAATGAGTAAAACATTATCAGACACCTGTATTTGATTTCATAATTATTTACCAAACAGTTGTGACTATGTTTTTATTTTAATTTTTACTTGTCTAAATATTTTTATTTTAAATATCAGAACTCATATCATTTCTTTCATATTTAGAAATCTTTATCTTATCCCATTTCCAAGATTCACCAAATGGACCCCTTAATAACTCGTAAATGAATGTTTTTAAATGTACTTGTATGTTTTATTATTTTTTTAGTTTAGTTTAGTTTAATCTTTTTAAATATATCATAGTCTAGTTTTTTAATTTTGAAACGTATGTTTTAATATTTTTTTTCTATCTCATAATCTAATTTTTTTTAAATGAATTTAATATTAGTTTTAAATATTAAATTTACAGTTGATTAAAATGTATGTTGTGGAAGCATTTTGGCATTGTGGCGAACAAGTCACCCAAGCTCCTCCACTTTCAGTGTTCGAGCATCATCCCTGCATTTAAAAGATTAAGGGGCTGTTTGGCAACTTCTGAATCGGTAAGTGCTGAACCAGTAAGAGGTCTGAACCATTAAGTGTTGAACCAGTAAGAGGTCTGAACCATTAAGAGCTAGTATATTGCTTAACTATTCAGAGGCAAATGTCTGATCAATTCAGATAAAAGCTCTTAACCATTCAGACTCTGTATAATACTTAACCATTCAGAGGCAAATCTCTTAACCATTCAGACATCTGAACCATTAAGAGACTGAAACAAACAGTCTGAACCATTAAGTGCTGAACCATTCAGACATCTGAACCATTAAGAGGCTGAAACAAACAGCCCCTAAGATTATAAGATTGAATATATACTACATTGATGAGTACGGGAGATATCTAAAAACATGTAAGTTGGAAAATGAAAATTTAGAGGAAAAAAAAAAAGAAGGGTGGACTTGGGGTGTAAAGGGAAATTAGATTGAACGAAATTAATGGAAATGTTCCCTGATCATAATTTGATCATTGCTATAAATTGAGGCCTCATATATCTCATTCTATATTTCTGTACCAAATAAGAAAATAAAGAGATACAGAAAGTCTTGAGGTGAAAAAAGAGAGTTTCATCACTTTTCTAATTTTTCAAGAGAAATGGTTGTTCTCTTGGACTTGCCAAATTAGGGATGAACTTGAACAAGTCCAAATGACAATCCAATTTGAGGATACTCTTTTGTCCTATATAGCATCTAAGGTGATTTATTTATTTTATTTCTTTTTGACATTTTTACTATTCTTATAATTTCTACTCAATTTTGTTTTCAGTAATATAGTCATGTCACATCTAGTTTTGTAGATTTTTTTATGTAGTTGTCGAATAGTAATTTTTACTTTTTAATTATATACCATTTTTCATAAAAAATAATTTGAAAATAATTACAATCAAATATCATAACGCGCAATGAGAAGATAATTTTTAGACGGAGAGAGTATATTATAAAACTACATCCAAAGTTATGCAAAACGAGTGTTGATAAGGTTATTATATTAAATGATCGATAAAAATATATAAAGAAAGTAGAATTAGTTTGACCTGTAAATAATAAGTAGAAATCTAACATCTGTTTTTTTTTTTAAAAAAGATTTTTTATGTAAGAAGGTACACTTAAATGATATGCACTCAAGGTGCACCATAGAAGTACTCAAAAACGAAATACACCAATGTTTTACAAAGTCATTTGTGGATTGTTATTTCAAGAGTTAATTTATTTTAAATATTAATCCTTTTTACCCCCTTACAGTTATTAAAATATAGAGTATTAAATTAGAATTGTCCTATTACAGTCCTAAGATCCAAATGTTAAATGTATAGTAAGCCTTCTTAGATATTTTTCATTGGCTTATACGGAGTATATCTTTTTTACAAGATCCAATACATACAATAATGATTTTATATGTATTCAGGTTGTTACGAGAGGCATATGCTGAAATATTTTCTCATTATTATTTTCTACAAAAGTCCACAAAATGTTTAACACACTCTTCTTTATATAAATTGTACAAAAATAAAAAAGTTTTAGAAAGTTACATAAAGAATTGTATGTGTCATGACTCTTTTAGTTTCATCTTCACCAGTATTCTTTTCTTCATCCATAGATGATGATATAGTAATACTGTAAGGTGGAGATGAAACTAAACGAGTTTTAACATTGAAAGTCTTCTACCTAATGAATCTTCAAACAAAAAATGTTAAGAGTTTTGAAAGATCTCTTCTCCGTATTGTTTAGAGTAAATTTCATAAATAACCTCTAATTACAGATATTTTTTTATGTTTAGTCTCAAATTCTAAGATATTACATAAATAGTTCTCATTTTTTGAAAAAATATTTCATAACTAATTCTTTAGGTAAAATATGAAAAAAAAATTCCACATATAATCTCTGAGGGGCCGAATATGGAATAATTTTTAAAAATCAAATATCATTTATGTAATATCTTAGAACTTGAGACTAGATATGAAAACCCAACTATAATTAGGAATCATTTGTAAAATTTAATCATTAATTTTAAAGTTCATATGTATTGATCCAAAAAATATTTAGATTTCAATAACTAATTTAACTTCTCATATAAAATTAGTATAAAAATAACGTCAAAGATCTTTTGACTTTGGCTTAAAAACGACTTTGATATTGTGGTGCACCTGCGATGCTACATTGGTAAAATTGATAATTTTTATCCCCATAACTAGAGATGAGCAAAAGGATCAGACTAGTCAGACCGGATCGGTCCCTTGAAAAGACCAGTACTATTTAGGACGGGATTGGTCTGGTCTTTTTTAAAAAGCGGTTCAAACTAATCTAGTCTTCATGAAAAAATAGAGACCTTTTGGGACCAGGAAGTCCTGTTAGGACTGGTCCAAGTCCGGTCCGGTCCTTAATATGTAAAATTCTTAAACTTTTGTTCTTAAAAAAAATACTCAAAAAATTAAAAAAATCATTTTTTATTATTTAATTTCAATTTTTATATACTTTATTGATTTATAATAAATATGCAACATGAATATTATAATGCGAGATGGAAGTTGGATAAAATTAACAAAAAAATGAGTTTAATATGTATGTTTTATGAATATGAGATCTTTTTGTTTTCACTTATTTGTAAATTCTTAAATAAAATTATGCAATGTATTATGCTCTCTATTGATAGAATAAATATATTTATATAAAAATCAAATTGTGAAGTACAAATATACATGTATAAAAATTATATTTCAAATACATTACTCCCGATCTGGTCTAGTCCTCTTGTCCTAGTTTGGTCTTGGTCTAGTCTTTTGAAAAGGACTACTCGGTCCGGGATCGGTCTAGCCTTTCATAAAAAATCAAGGACCAAATGAGAGTATCGGTCCAAGACCGGATCGGTCTCAAGGATCACATCATTCTCATCTTTTCTGGTCCCAAATCCAATTTATTTTAATCAATCTTTTCGATCATAGTCTTTATGCTCATCACTACGGCCATAGCCCCTCAGGTACCCCATACCAGCTCAAATCGCAGATCTAGGGGGTAGGCTGTGATGCGGCGCAGGGAACAGGGGGGTCAGTCTAGGGGTGACTTGAGTGGATTTGAATGGTGTGACGTGAGGGTCGAATTGTATTTTTAGGGCAAAGGATCCCTTGCCAAGGGTCTTAGTGGTGTCTCTATTTGTCTTCTTGTCTACCACTGCCCTAACATCTCATCCACTCAGGTCACCATCTTTAGTTTCTTGGGATCTTAAAGAGGGAAAGGAGTGGAAGACAAGATTAATTGGTAATCCAAACAAAACGAATATATTGCACAGGGGGGGGGGGGAGTCTTTAGCCACAAAAAATTGGCACATTTTTTGGTGAACACAAAAGGAAGGGCAGCCCAGTGGACAAAGCATACCAACCTCAGCTAAGGTGTCCCACTATAAGGGCATGATTTAGTGTAGGCATGCAAACCTTACAAAATACTCACATTGCAGTAAAAAAAGAAGAAGACATTTTACTATGCTTAGAGGGGTCTTTATGTCTTTAATGGCGCATACGGGCTGATAATTGAATCTCTTTTTGTAACAAAGCTCAGGTTTAGAGTTTCGGGTGATCGAACAATTGTAATTTTAAGATTCACATGTGAAATATAAACCTTCTTACAAATTTTTAACGAGCTCATAATTGAATCTCTTTTTGTAACAAAGCTCAACACAAACAAATATTTGATGTATTAAAGTTTATAACATGAGTCTAAACTTAAAAACCATAAAAAAATTGCCTTGTTCTACGATTCTAGACACATGTCAGTTAGGCTGATTGGGCCTAGGAGACATTTGGCTTTCATCAAATGGGAGTAAGAGAGATGTAGTCTGGGCTTGCCTACTGGACTTATTGGGTCTTCATAGCACTTAACACTATGACAATGTGACAATTTACATACATATTTCACAATACTTTTTGGTAATTTATATGATCATAAATGACACTATAAATGCATTCTTATTTCGGACATAAAAATATGAAAATTCTATTCTGGTATATTTTCAATGTTTTACTTCTATTTTAATTTTTTTCTAAATTTTGGCTCTGAAATTTCCCATCTTACTTTAAAAAAACTTGCAAATTCAAAATGATAAAAAAAATATTTGACGGATGGAATATTTTAAAACAAAGTTATATGATTAATAATTTTATATACTCTGTAATTAATTGAGACTAAATTTCGTATAATTGACCTCGACATTGTTGCGAGTAAGGTGATGATGATTGTTTGACTTAATCAATAGAACCAAGCACAATAGAAGCAATCTATATACAGACTACACCGGCTTTATTCACCACATGAACAGGTCATAAATAAGTGCAAAGTCCTTAACATAATGTTCTGTTGTGGATAGGGGATAAGAGTAACGTGTTGTGAAGTACTCTTTACCATACTCACAATGACCTTTGATGAAAGCCAGAATTCAAATCTTTGAGTGAATGCGGCTCAGAGTTGCCTCGATCGAGCCATGTGGTTCATCCGTTGGCAAGTACACATCATCAGCAAACTGTAACGTACGTAAAAACATGATTTCTCATATCCAAAAAGCAAAACATAAAATCCTAGGCAATGGTGTGCATGGACCACTTCCTTTTTGGGTCATTGGACCAAGCAGATGGGAATG